GTGCTGGGGTTTCCGTGCTGGCACAGACGATGGAAGAGGACACCCTAGACGATTTTACATCTGAGCACGGAGCTTCCCTAAGCATGGAGTCTTTCACGCAGAAAAGCCTTGTCTCCTCTCCTGAGGTTGTCACCATCCTCCTTCTCTCCTCACCCCTCGCTCTCACAGTTTGCCCCCCGTGGGGCCCTTGGCCTGCCGAGGTGGCTCCTGCCCTCTGAGCAGAGCTTGAGCCCTTTGCTGGCCCCCCTGGGTGGGTCCCCTCGCCAGCAACGGGCAGGATCCCTCGCCGGGACAGGGCTGTTGGTGAAATCTGCTCCCAACTGTTTCTTCTGGGCTGTGAGACAGGGTCCTGGGAGAGACCTTCCAGTGCAGCCCTGCTGTGCACCCCCAGGGCTGGCTGTGTGGGCGAGGGGCCGTGCTGGAGGCCAGTGCTGGGGGTCCCGAGGCAGCGCTGACCCTATGGCACAGGCGCTCGGCGGGCGTCCGCTCCAGGTGCAAGCAGGCAGGTAGCTACAAGCTGTCTTTAGCAATCCCTTGTGCTTTCCTTTCACTTTGGCTACAGTTAGAGTTCCCCGGCCCCAGGCACTCTGAAACAGGGCATCTCTGGAGGCACCAGAAATGTTGGGTTTATGCCTATGCAAAGCAGGGTCATGCTGCCTTCGATGTCTTTGCGCAGCACCCACGGCTGAGGAATGTGGGCTCTTGGCACTGCTTGCATGCAGGGTTTATCTCACGTGATGGTGGTTGTTTCCCAGGACAGCCTGAGAAGATACACTGAGCAGAAGAAAACTGGTCTTTGAGACTTGGTTCTGGTGTGGCTGGGCCCAGCCACGCCGCAGCGTGGTGCCCAGCGGTGCTGGGCTGCACGACCTGCCTGAGTGCCCCCAGGGAAGAGAGCGGAGCAGGAGCAGCGTCGGGCCGGGCGCAGCCGAGGCAGGGGCAAGGCTGGTCCCACTCTCGCTCCCTGTCATCTCCCTTAATCAGTGCTGAAGTCGCCAGCGGAGGCAGGCTGTGCCCTACCAGCCCAGCCGGAGCCAGGACCTGGGCTGGCTGGAGCGCGTGTCCCCGGGCGGCAGCGTGGGCGGGAGTGAGGGCTTGGGCACAGCCTCGGGCTTCAACAGGGCTCACAGTGACCGGTGTTGAGGGAATGCCAGAGACCAACCTGGGCTTCCCGGCAGGCCCAGTACAGCCGCCGAGTTAGTGATAATGTTGCTTTCGTGGGTCAAACCCAGCTGTGAAAGACCTATGTGCAACCTGGTGCTCCTGGCAGTCACCGACTGCCTCTGCTGCGATTTCCATGGGCTAGGAAGAAGTAAAACCTGGGTTGGAGGCAGGTGTGGAGGACGGGACCTGGAGAGCAGACAGTGCTTGGGAGTGCAGGGTAAAGGGATGTTGGAGAGGCTTGTGCGAGCGATGCTGTAGGGAGCTGGCACGGGACAGGTCTCCTGAAGACCTGGCTCCTCCAGCATGGGTGCGCAGGGCTGCGGGGCTGTGGCAGGGTGCAGGTGCCGTGGCAGAGTCCCTGGCAAGGGTCCGTCTTCCACCTGTGGAGGAAGGTGCCCTTACTGCCCTGTGTGTGGCATGGCTTGCGATGCACGTGTGCCATCCCAGCGGCTGTCCCGGCAGCACGAAAGCTGCTGCCCTGGGGCGGCTCGGCGCTCTCGCAGGGGGCCAGCAGTGGGCCGTACCCGCGTGCAGCCCCCGTGGTGCCTCCCCCCAGGCGCAGCCCTGCTGGCACTCAGCGATTTTCAGGGCACAGCCACACTCTCGCCAGAGCCCAGGGCATGCGTGAGGTCTGCTGCTTGCCCGGCTGCTGCCAGGGCAAGGCCTGGGGCGCTGTGCCTAGGGAGCTTTGCTTCCTTCGGCACCTGGTTAAAGAAGGCAGGAGCTGGGAGGTGGCGTTTTTGTGTGGGGGGCTTTCACCAATTTCTGATTCCCCTCCTTGTGGAAGCCCTTCCACTAGTAAATGGTTCTCCTCCTTTCTCTCTCTCCTCTAATCTCATCTTCTTTTCCCTTCCCTCTCGCTCTGCTTCCCTCTGCCCCCCTGTTTCCCCTTACTCGATATCAGTTATTAGGTTTCCATTTCGTGTGCAACTGCTCCAGACATTCACCCTGACACCCCTGCGTGGGGCATGGCTCACCTTTTCAGGGACTTTTTTCCTCGTCTGAGCGGGGAGCGGGCAGCCAGCCCCCCGCTCACCGGGGCTGGAGCGCACCCCAGTGCCCCAGAGCGTCGGCCTGGCCCAGCCTGCAGAGGTGACGCTGGCTCTGCCCGCGGGCGGGTGCCCGGGCAGCCTGTGTCACAGCGCCAGCCCCACGGGAGCTCCGCAGGACCGTGCCCACAGCATTGCCCTTCGCGCCTGTGCTGCCTACAGTAGGATGGCTGGGGAGGCCGCTGGGCTTCCTCATCGGTGCAGATATTTTCCTGCTGCTGTCTTCTCGTGGGTTATTTTCTACCTTCTGTTCCACAAGTGGTTGAATTTTAGCAGTGCTTTGTTCTTGGCACTCGTGAAGTCTTTAGCTGTCTTGCAGGACAAGCGTGTGAATGTACGAAGTGTAGGTAGGAACGGCGATCGAGCATCCTCCCCTGCGCAGCGGCGCGGACGCGCCGCGTGGCAGGTCGCACACCCGCGCTCTCCTTGCTGCAGGGTGCTCCGCAGCCTTTGCTTGGTCCTTGCTGCAGTACCCGTAGCTGCCTCAGCGCCAAGCCCGTGGTCGTCTTTTACATTTTACAGGTAACCTTTTACAGGTTACATTTTCTGAACAGCTTTGTTTGAGCCTTACTAGACACCTTTGCTAAA